GCCCACGGCCCCCTCGCCCCGGGCGCGGCGCCCCGCTGGGCGCAGACCACCCCCTCCTCCCGCTGCCCCGAATTCCCGCCGCCGGCCCCCGCGGGCCCGGGGCTGGGGCGGGCCGAACAGAAGGGGAATGGATCCCAGGCCTAATCGGCCCTGCCGCAATGTGGGACCGTTTAGGAGGCTTCCCCTCGCTCTTCTTTCGGGAACACTTGTGAAAATCGTGAATATCCGTCCTGTGTTACGATTTCCGAGACCGATGGGGCCAGTTTGGGGGAAGTATCAAGTTTGGTGGGCGCGGAGAGAGCGCGGGAAGGCTGCAACTTTGTTTACAAACAGTTGTGTCATAAAAAGCGAGGGTGGGGGGGGGAAGAGGGGCCGAGAGAGAAGCTCCAAAGTGGCTAAATGCTCCCCTCCGCCGTTGAGAGGCCCCCACACCCCGAGGAGAACAATATCGGGGAGCAGAAAGCCCCCTTGTCTTTCAAAAGTTCTTTCAGACAGTAAATTCCGGGCGCAGCTCGTCGCCCCGGGGTCCTTCCCTCCCCCTCGCCCTCGCTCGAGAGTCCCAAGCCCGCTCCTTTCTCTCCAGGGAACAGCGACCACCAGTGGCTTTAACCTGTTTAGGGTCACAGCCTCCTTTGAGAATGAAGTTACAGATCCTGTCCTCCTCCTAAAACACAGCTTCGGGGTCCGCAGTCCTGGAAGCGGCTGAGTGAGCTGCGATCCTGGGGGCCGCGTCGCACGCGTCCTTGGCGCCAGGGAACTAGGTTCTGCGGAGACTGGCGGCCCCTGGCCGGGTCCTGACATCAAAAGCAGCCCCAAGGAAGCCTCCCCCTGCCGGATCCCCCCTCCCCCTCCCCCCCCGCCCGCCCGCCATCCGCCGAGCAAGTCACTGCCCCCCCACCCACACACACACAGCCGCCGGCGGATGCGGAGGCCCCACATCCCCGCGAACACCCCTCACCCCGGGCGGGAGTTCCCCTCGCGGGGACGGGTTTGGCATGATTGCCACATTACAAGATGTTACATTCCGCCCTGAGGCCTGGGGCGGGCGGACCGGCGGGCGGGGCGGAGCGGGTGGGACCGTGGGTTTCAGGGCGAGAGCCGGCAGGACCCGGCGGAGCGACCGCCCGGCGCCTCCACCCGAGAACAGACGAGTCTCCAGACACCCCCTCCCCGGCCGCTCCGACTCCGGCTCCCCGCTCGGCCTCCGCACCCGGAGCGCAGACGCGGCAGCGCGTAGCCGCTGGCGGGCCGCATGGCCGCGCCCCCGGACTCCCTGGAGCCCCGCTTGCGGGGTTCCCTAGCCGGGTCGGGCGCAGAGCGGGAGAAGGTGGAGAGTGGGCCCGCGAGGGGGGCCGGGGCTGCAGGACAGAGGGGGACCGCTTGAGGGAAGGAGCGCGAGGGAGAAGGGAGGATGAACTTGGAGCGCGCGGGGCGGTCCCGGGGGCAGCCGGGGACCCGCACCCAGCAAACATGGCGGCTCTCCGCGCTCCCGCCCCTCCCCCCTACTGCCGCCCCGGGGTCTCGCACACCCGGGAGGTGCAAGCGTCGCCGCCG